AATTCTGGAAAATAGGCAAAGTAGAGACTGCATTTACGAGGAAGGATGCGGCTTTCCGGCCACTTCCTTCTGTAAAATGCCATTTTTTGCCAAAATTATAGTTAAATAAGGATGAGGTTGGATAAGTTGGAGAACTTTAGATTTAGGGTTTTTTTACCTACTTTATTTTTCTCTTGTCCTATCAGGCCTTCTTCGTCAAGTATAACGATCCAATATACGTGAAATTGGAGAAATTAGACATCATGATCCGTCTTACAAACCAGGCCAACATAGCCCAGGTGCTCTCCGAGCTGAAGGAGTACGCCAAGGAGGTGGATGTGGATTTTGTCCGCAAGGCCGTCCGCGCTATTGGTCGGTGTGCCATCAAAGTGGAGGCCTCCGCTGAACGCTGTGTTAGCACTCTTGTGGAACTGATAAACACCAAAGTCAACTATGTTGTGCAAGAGGCTATTGTTGTCATCAAGGTTTGTGTGCCCTTCTGATGAAGTTTCTCTTTTGAGTAATTTATGTTCATACCCTGTGTACACCAACCGTACTTTGACCCACTCAAAGCTTACATTTTACACGCGAGCATCGTATCTCGTCTCTGGTGCCTAACAGGCGCTCTTGCAGTCGCAGAACTGTTGCCCTCCAGCCTTCACCTGCATGCATTTTTGCTATTTTTTTCTGCAGGACATCTTCCGCAAGTATCCGAACAAGTACGAGAGTATAATCGCCAATTTGTGCGAGAATCTGGACACGCTGGACGAGCCCGAAGCCCGTGCTTCAATGATTTGGATAATTGGCGAGTACGCTGAACGCATTGACAATGCGGACGAACTTTTACAGTCCTTCTTAGACGGATTTCTTGATGAGAACACTCAGGTTCAACTGCAACTACTAACCGCCATCGTGAAGCTCTTCTTGAAGCGACCTTCCGACACCCAGGTGCTTCACCCCTGCCTTCTTTAAATTCAGCAAATCTACTCAAAGACTGCCGACCCTGACCTGTATAGATTATCCCACAGAGCTTGTCAACGGTGCTGGGCGTTCGTTTTCTTTTTGCTGTAGGCCAGATACGGGTTTGACTATCTGTCTTTATAAACCCCTGAATTATCTAATGCTCTCCGTTATGCAACCAGTCGTAGAATCTCTGCCACAAAGGTCCTATGCAAGACGAAGGGGTCATAATGCGTCCTGTAATCAGGTCATATTATTCACCTTAATTCGCATGCTTAACAGAGCCCGAACGTCAAGTCTAACAGCATACCGGATTCATGTTTGAATTCAGGTTTTTCCATTCTGTGATTAGGGTTTAAATGGCTGACGACAGCGGTGGTCTTCATGCCAGCTCCATTTGCTGTCGCCTGTTACACTTCCTGTTCGACCTCTTAGCCATGTAGTAGACCCTGACTGCTGTTTCTGGTGGTGCGTGCTGTCGAATATTTTGAGATGCGTGACAGCAAGTTGACCATATCAACCACCGGCGTTCTTTTAGACCATGTGGTGACAGTTAGTTCGTGTCTTTGTCTTTTTGTTTAATCAACATCAACACGAAAGGTTACACGGTGTTGCTGTTGTAGGAATTGATTCAAAACGTACTAGACCTGGCAACGTAGGAATCGGACAATCCAAACCTGCATGATCGCATGCGACTTTGCATCTTCCTTCCTGTACCCAAGAGAGCTCGAGTTCGTGACTTAATTGCTAGAGCGCCAAGCTCAATAGCAAGCTGAATCCATGTTCAAATCCAAGTTCTTACATTGTGGGATTACGGTTTGACTGGCTGGCGATAGCGGATAGACCAGTTGCCTTCATTTCGGCTCCCTTTACCCTCGTCAGTAACACTTCTTCTTTGACCTCTTAGGCAAATAGTAGACCCTGACTGATGGTGCTTGCTGCCGAATATTTTGACTTGTATGACAGTAAGTTGGCTATTTCAACCACTGGCGCTCCTTTGGGCCGTGTGGTCGCAATTGGCTCGTGTCTCATATTTTTTGCTTGATCCTAATCAACACAAAAGTTTACAGGATGTGGCTGTTGTAGGAACTGGTTCAAAACGTACTGGGACTGGCAACACAGGAATCGGACAATCCAGACCTACGTGATCGTGGTTATATCTACTGGCGCCTCCTTTCCACCGATCCAGCAGCCGCCAAGGAGGTCGTTCTCGCTGAGAAGCCCCTAATTTCTGAAGAGACTGACCTCCTTGAGCCCTCTCTTTTGGACGAACTCATCTGTAATCTGGGCAACCTGGCCAGCGTCTACCATCAACCACCTAGCTCCTTTGTCGAGGGCCGTCACATCTCACGGAAACAGCTTGCTTCCAAATCGCCCGAGGCCCCCGGCGAAGAAGTACCGGGAGCTGCAGGCCAGGCACAAACGACCGCGGCGGCAGCTCCCACTGTCATTCCGACTCAGGTACGTCGAGGAAGTCGGTCGCATCCCTGCTTTTTCCCTTCCTCTACGATGCTGTTTGCCAATCTCTTTAGATTACCCCTCACTAAGCCAGGACACTGGCCGCAGAGCTATCATATGTATTCGTAATTATTTTCGACTGTGAACCACGGTCAGTTGGTGCTTGTTGCGGCTGTGATCATACCTGATCCAGCCGACCTTGATGATGTCGCGGACTGTACCTCTCCATTTGTGGTGATTAGCAACTGGGGGTCTCGAAAACTCCACACATTCTCTTCTCTAGCGACGAATGCCGAAGGCCCAAGAACCTATACTGTCCGTCAAGACGGACAGTATAGGGTCAGGTCTTGAGTCACCCTCCTCTCCAGCGCCCCCAGGTGGGCTGCGGCGCCGGATCGAGGGCCATATAGTAAAGATCGTGAGGCGGACGACGGAGAACGTGCCCAAAACCACCTCAGTCGTCTTTCGTGGATGCTCAAGGGTATGTTCGCGATACCGTTGGAGCGAGTGCGGACGGTCTCCCTTGAGCCGGAGTCAGTGTACTTCACTCGAAGGATGGTCCTCAGGCAGCGGTAGTCTAATCCGATGCCCCCCTAACCACACGAGCTTTGTTTAATTACTTTTTTTAGAAT